TGCAGGAATGATTGCTGGTTTGAATCTAGAATGAAAATTGTAGAAGTTATGAATAATTTTTTTGAAGACTGAGTTGAAGTGCAAAGGGATATTGATAGCAGTAATTGCACTGAGACAGCATCTTTGAATGCAAAATATCATAAAGCATTTCATGTTATCAAACTATTTAGCATTACAATATATGATGCAATAGATGGCCAAAAGTTTTGTTAATGAGCCAGGTTTTGAGGAACATATTGAAAGAGGGGGGAAATGTGAAGAGGTCAAAGGAAATTGTAGAATTCACCTGAATTAATGGCTGACAATGGTAGGGCTATGCAAATCAGAGATGTGCAGGAAACTAGATGTGGAGCAATGCAAAGACCTAGGAGGAGTTCAGGACTGGAAGGATTGCAGATCAAAAGAGACCCAAGGTGATTGAAGGATTTTAGCAGAAGGTTGAGAATTACAATGCTGGACCAGAAGTCAATGCAGAGAATGGCTAATAATAGGGAATATTTTGTGTTAGAATTTTATGTAATTTGTTTCAAAAGGAAGCATGAATTGTTACTTAAATGGAATTGGGGTATAGGTTCATAACATTACTTAAGGTTGATAAAGCTACAAAAAATCTCAAGGAGTTTTTCTTTCAACAGAAGGAGGTGAAGAAAATAAAAGGCATGAGATAATAACAAGCAGTGTTCCATGTAAGCCATGAAGTCACAAAGTTTGCATACAGCCTACCCAAAAGTTGTCCTTGGGCTATGTGTGGCTGTGAAAAAAATACTTAAAGGGTTCATGCAATTAAATACATTGCACATGCACTTAAAAAAAGAGGCAATTGAAATAACTCCATGAAGGAGTTACCCTTTATTTACACATGCATAGTACTTGACACTGGTATAGCTAGCACAGAGCTGACTCCTAGAGTGAGCAGAACCTCTGATATTCCTGTTCATATCTGTCAGCCAGGGCTCCCTGATTGGATCAGGTTAACAGCCCCAATCAGGTAACTCATATTCTGTGAGATCTACCTGGCTGACCTCATTCCAATCACTTTAGAAATATTGATATTTCTTCATTTAAATTCCAAGCCAAATCTCAGTTAGAGTAGTGTGTGACCTATTGCAACTGAAAAGATGGGAAATAGGGCCGAATTAGGCCTTTCAGCTTTTGAAAACTGCTCTCCCATTCAATAAGATCATGGCTAATCTGTTTGTGTTTTGAAATTCATATTCCCCATCTACCCCAATAACCTTTGATTCTCCTGTTTGACAAGAATTTGTCCACTTCTGTCTTCAAAATGTTCAATGACCCCACTTCGACCACCTTCAGAGGCAGGGGGTTCCAAAGTTGCAAAATATTCTGAGAGAAAAACTTCATTCCCATATTTGCCATGAGAGGGTGACCCCTGATTTTAAAACTGTATCCCCAAGTTCTGGACGGACCCATAAGGAGAAGTATTCTGTCCATGTCAACCTCAGCAAGACTGTTGCAGAACCTCACACACTTCAGTCAAGTCATCCCTTAGTCTTTGAAGCCCCAGTAGAAACAAGTGCAGCCTATTCAACCTACCCTCTTAAGTCAAATCATTTATTTCTGGCTGTGACTATAGTAAACCTTGTCTTAACCAACACCAAAGAGTTTACATCCTTCGTGAAATAAGGAGATCAGAACCGCACAGAGTATCCACGATGTTCTCTCACTACTGCCCGGGATTACTGAAACACAACGTCCTTATTTATATGTCCAATTCCTTTCGTAATACAGGATAACACTCTTGGATACCTGCATACTAATCTTTTGTAACTTGTGCATTGGAACAACTAAGTCCCTCTGCATGTCAGAATTCTACAGTCATTTGACATTTAAATAATACTCTTTTTTTTTATTCTTGCCAGAGTAAGGAACTTCACATTTTGCCGCTTTATGCTCCATTTGCCAGATTTTTATTCAGTCACTCAGCCGAGTTATATCTATCTGCAACTTTCTTATGTTAGACAAAGGAGAGCCAGTGGACATGATCTATTTTGATTTCCAGAAGGCCTTTGACAAGGTGCTGCACGGGAGGCTGCTAAATATGATAACAGCCCATGGTGTTAAGAGCAAGATACTGGCATGTGTAAAGGATTGGCAAAAGGCAAAGAGTAGGGATAAAGGGTCTTTTTCAGGATGGCAACCAATGACTAGTGGAGTTCCGCAGGGATCTGTATTGGGACTGCAACTGTTCACGGAATACGTTAACTATCTCGATGAAGGAATTGAGAACATTGTTGAAAAGTTTGCAGGTGACACAAAGATAGGTGGAGTGAAAGGTAGCATTGAGAAAGCAGGGAAGCTGCAGAAGGATCCTGGCCAGGCTTGGAAAGTGGGCAAAGAAGAGGCAGATTGAATACAATGTGGGAAAGTGTGAGATTGCACTTTGGTAAGAAGAAAAGTTGCAGACTATTTTCTAAAGGGGAAAAGGCTTTGGAAATGGGAAATCTGAACCACAGAGGGACTTGGATGTCCTAGTTTAGGATTCACTTAAGGTTAACTTGCAGGTTCATTTTAGCAATTATGAAAGCAAATGTAATGTTCGCATTCATTTCAGGAGGGCTAGAATACAAGAACAAAGATGTACTGCTGAGGCTGTATAATGCTCTGGTCAGACCGCACCTGGAATAGTGTGAGCTGCTTTGGGCCCTGTAAGTTAGGAAGGATGTGCTAGCTTTGGGAGGTGGTCCAGAGGAGGTTCTCAAGTAAAGTCCTGGAAATGAAGGTCTTGTCTGCAGTTGATTATTCTGAGTCTGTACTCTATGGAGTTTAGAAGGATAAGGGGGTGGGGGGGGAGATGGAATCTGATTGAAACTTACAGAATACTGAGAGAGCCAAAAAACTGCTGATGATGGAATCCAAGGTAGACTAATAGGAGGCTGGAAGAACACTGCAAGCCAGGCAGCATCTGGAGGAAAGGAGCAATCAAGATTTTGGGTATTACCCTTCATCAGGACTGCATACTGAGAGGCCTGAATAGAGTGGATATGGAGAAGATGTCTTCACTAATAGGACAGGCTAGGACCTGAGGATACAACCTCCGTGTAAAGGGATAACGCTTCAGAATTGACATGAGGAGGAGTTTCTTCGGTCAGAGTGGTGAATCTATAGAACTCATTGCCGCAGAAGGCTGTGAAGACCAAGTCATTGAGCATATTTCAGACAGATATGGATATGTTTTTGACTCCTAAGGGGATCAATGGTCATGGGAGAAGGCTGGAGAATGGGGTTGAGAAACACCTCAGCCATGTTTGAATGGCGGAACAAATATGATGGGCAGAATGGCCTAGTGCTGGTATGTCTTATGGTCTTGTGGGCTATTTCATAGGTTGAGGGAATTGATTCAGGACTTGGGAAAACTTCAGCATTCCTCTGAATGGTGTCTTGGGATTGTAGTGAGGGCCTTAGTTTAACATCTCATTTGAAAGCTGGTCCTAAACAGTATAAATTCTTCTCCTTACTGCACTTATTTACAATGTTGGGTGTACACTTGGATTGGGGCTTGAAACATAAACTGACGCTAAGCTGAGAATGCTGCGATGCGAAGCTGATTGAAATTGAGAGTCCAGTGTCCCAAACTTTGGATACACTTGTCAATGAGTCTATATTTCTGTATCACAGCATTTGGTAGGGTTTGCTGCAAGAATTCGTTGCCAAAGTCTTAAGTCTTTTGTTTAAAATTTGCTTCAATAATTGATCAGCTTTGTTGCTGTCAGATTTATGACTGGACACAGTCATAATAGGAATGTATTAGCTGTTACAGGAACATGGGAATAGGTGTAAGCCATTCGGCCACTCAAGCCTATTCTGCCATTTAACGAGATCAAGGCTGATCCGTGGCCTAATTCCATATACCCGCCTTTGGTCCATTTCCCTTGTACCTTTTGCTGAACAAAATTTTATTGATCTCAGACTTATAATGATCAACTGAACTAGCATCAGCTTCCGTTTGTGGAAGAGACTTCCAAACCTCCACCACCTTTATGTGTAGAAGTGTATCCTAATATCTCTACTGTGTGGCCTGGCTCTAATATTTCGACTATGACTCCTATTTCTAGAATGTCCGACCTATGGAAATACACCAGATGTAGTGCATACTGACGCTGCTGCCGAGTGGCTGTTTTGAAATCCGAGATCTATACTGGTTGTGTGATTGGCCCTAATGTGATTTTCAGAGTTTTTATGTTGTTTTATTATCATAGATCATAGAATCCTTACAGTGTGGAAACAGGCGCTTCGACCCAACAAGTCCACACTAAACCTCAGAGCATCCCACACAGACCCATCCCCCTGTAACCCACCTAATCTACACTTCCCTGAACACTACGGGCAATTTAGAATGGCCAATTCACCTAACCTGCACATCTCTGAACACAATCAGCAATTTGGCGTGGCCAATTCACCTAATCTGCACATTTTTGACTGTGGGAGGAAACCAAAGCACCTGGAGGAAGCCCACGCAGACATGGGGGGAATGTGCAAACTCCACACAGACAGTCACCTGGGTTTCTGGCGCTGTGAGGCAGCAGTGCTAACCACTGAGCCACCGTGCCGCAAGAAAAGGTTGAAGAGGATTATTCCTGAAATATTCCTGTCAGAAAGTCATCTTAACTGTGTTAACACATAGCAACTGCATTGTTTAATTATGTTTGTGATTTTTAGTAAGATGGTATCATATTTTTCCTCAAGAATACTAAAGAGGTAAGAATTTGAGGAGACCAGAGATCTCTGAGGGCTTTAGGATTTGAAGATAATGATTTAAAAACAAGGATGAGAATCTTAAAATAGAGGTGTTGCTTACATGGGAGCCAGTGTAAATCAGGGAGTGCAGGGGTTCTGGATTAAATGAAGCTTACTGTTAGTAAAACAACTTTTTTGCTGTAAGGTGATAAATGTTTATAATGAATTTTGAAGATGAATGTATATTGTTTTAATACATTTTAAATTAATAATTATAATATTTGCATATTGTTGTTTCTTTTCAGGTATCTGTAGCTGGTACTCAAGTTGCTTCCGGGTCTCCAGCCGTAACTGTTGTACAGTTGCCTTCTGGCCAGACTGTGCAGGTCCAGGGAGTAATCCAAACCGCACAACCCTCTGTCATACAATCACCACAGATACAGACTGTACAGGTTAGCTGTAGTGTTAAATTACTAAACCTTTCTCCAGAAACATGAATGCTTTGCAAACATAAAGCCACCATTACTGCGTAAAATAGCCAAGATGGATAAATTTTAAGATGTGTTTTTATTTTCTCATGGGTTGTAGATGTCACTAATAAGGCCAGCATTTATTGCTGTTCTATATGGGCTTTGAGCAGGTGGTGATGAACTGCTGCCTTCTATCACTGCAGTCGGTCTGGTGAAGTTTTTCCAAAGGGTTGTTGGGCGTCAGAAATTTCAGAATTCTGTGATGGTGGAACAATGACACCTGGTCAGGATGGACATCTTGAAGGTGGTGTTTCCGTTTCTCTGCTGGTCTTGTACCCCTAGGGTGTAGAAGTCACAGGTTTGTGATATACTATAAAGAAGGCTTTGATGACTGATAATGTACAAACTGCGACCATCATGTTCTGTTGCAGGGAGAAACAAAAATTTTAAGGCATTGAGTGAGGTGCCAATCAAATGGGCTGCTTTTTCCTGGTTGGTGTTGAGCTTAATTTATTGCCAGAGCAATGATTTCTGCGCTTGACCTGTACGTTGTAACTCTGGACAGGTTTTGAGGAGACAGGAGTCACTATCGCAAAGTCAAAATAAGTATATTGCTGGTCCCAATAAGTTTCTGATCAGTGACTTCCCAGGGATGTTGCTGGTTAGGGATTCTGGTAAGGTTGTGAGATGTCAAGGGGAACTGATTCAACTGTCTTGTCGGAAAAGGTCAATACTCCCTATTTCTGTGGAGTGAATAGTCCTTGGCATTCATCATTTCAATCCTGTTTGTTATCCTGGACTTGCTGTATTTGAGTGTGAATGGCATTATAATTTCAAGATTTGCCATTGATACTGATCCAACAGGTAGATGGAAAGGAACTGAAACAGGATCCAAAAGTCTTTGCTCCTGTTCGCTGCCTGCTTCCCCAAGACCTGAAAAGTCTGGCTAATCAGGGTTAATTGAAAATGGTGGTCTATTCTGAAACCTGCAACCTAATCATAATACTTAAACGACCATGTTGCTCTGACAAGTAGGTTCATTGCCCATTCTGTTCTGAATCTTTTAAAACCAGATGTGGCAGGTTGCAGTTTGATTTTAAATTCCATCCAACCTTACCACAATTTTTTTGTGTGGCTGTAATTACTCCCTTATTCATCAAATAGATGACTGTATTGATTCGAAGGATATAAGTATGCAAGGATATTTCATAAATTAACAATTACAACCATAGTGAATCTTTGCTCTTAAAGGAAGACATTTTTCCATTTGTTTTTGATTTCAATAAATTCTTTGAAACTCTTTTTGATTCCAAAATGAAATTTGAAATAAAATGGATTTTGGATGCAACCTTTCCGGCTTCTTTAAATGAGGAACTCATTTGATTTATTATTGTCACATGTACCTAGGGACAGTGAAAAGTTTTGTTTTGTGTGCAGTACAGGCAGATCATACCATACAAAGTGCATAAGGCTAATAGAACAGACCAAGGAATACAATGTTATAGCTGCAGAGAAGGTACATAGGGAGCTAAGTGAACATTAAATTTGAAATTTGAGAGGTCCATTCAGAAGTCTAACAACAGCTGGGAAGAAGCTGTTCTTGAATCTGTTGGTGTATGTGTTCAAGCTTTTATATCTTCTGCCCAACGGAAGAGGTTGGAAGAGATTATGAGGAGGGTCAGGAGGTCTTTGATTATGTTGGCTGTCGTTCTGAAGCAGCGAGAAGTATAGATGGAGTCAATGGATGGAAGATTGGCTTGCATGATGGACTGGGCTGTGTACACAAATCTCTGTAGTTTTGTACGGTCCTGGGTAGAGCAGTTGCCGTACCAAGCTGTGATGCATCTGGATAGAATGCTTTCTATGGTGCATCTGTAAAAATTAGTAAGAGTCTTCATGGACATGCCAATTTCCTTAACCTCCTGTGGAAGTAAAGGTATTGCTGTACTTTCTTGACCATTGCACCAATGTGAGATTGCTGGTGATTGTCACCCCTAGGAACTAGGAATTGGCACAGGTGATGAAAATCCCTTTCAGGATGATTTCATATTCATAGCACCTAACTGCTCCATTCAAATGTTTTTGCAGTTCTTGAGTCGTCAGGTATATCATAGAAGCATACATAGAAAATAGGAGCAGGAGTAGGTCTTTGGCTCTTCAACCATGCTCTACCATTCAATATGATTATGGCTGATTATCCAACTCAGTACCCTATTCTCACTTTCCCTGTGTCTGCGGAATAACGAACCAGCTCGGCGAGCCAACCAACCACAACTTTCTCCCCATATCCTTTGATCCCTTTAACTCGAATGACTATATCTAACTTCTTGCAAACATTCAATGTTTTGGCCTCAACTGCTTTCTGTGGCATAGAATTCTGTAGGTGGTGTCACCATCCATGTTATTTGCACATGAGAGCTGCCATCTGGTCATGCACAACAGGTGCAAGGCCACTTTCCCAAGGCAGACATTGACATTTCAAAGCTTTAGGTCATAGTGTCATGAATATGGAGCAATAAGACGTGGATTTAAGGTGCAGATATTGTATGATATTGTTAAATAGCTGATCACGCTTGAAGGATTGAATGGCCTACTCCTGTTCCTTACGTACATGACTTGGCAGCTATCCATCCGATTTCTTATCACACTGTGGAGCCATTTTGAAGCAACATGCAATTAAAAGTAGAAAATGACTACTAATTTTCAATATGACCTGAAAGTTATGTGTTTCTATCATGACTGAGACTATTTTCGGAGAATTATAATGAAATACATGAATCTTTTACATATGGGGCTAATGAATGTGCCATTTTATTTGATCAAGAAATTTTTATTTACAGGAGGTGCGTTTAACCAGCTAGGCTAGAGTTAATTCCCTTGAGAAGGTGATGACCTGCATCCTTGATGACTGCAGTTCATTAGGGATCAATGTACACGTTGTCAGGAAGGGAGTTCCAGGATTTTGACCCAGTGACCATGAAGGAACTGAAATGTAGGGTGGAAGCTTACAGGGGCAGGAATGATGTGGGCTGTGGCAAGATTTGTGACAGAATCATTCAAGATGTCCGTTGAGGCCTATCTTGTACCTAAATGCACGCAGTATTCAGAATAAAGTTGATGAGTTGACGGTAGCAATAGAGACAAATGGGTATGACCTGGTGGGGATTACTGAAACGTGGCTACAGGAAGATCAGGACTGGGAGTTAAATGTCTAAGGGTATTCAATATTCCAAAAGGACAGAGAAGGAACAGCAGGAGGTGGAGTTGCTTTATTGGTTAAGGATGACTTCAAGGCTGTATTAAGAAATTATATTGGCTCTAGGGACCAACATTTTGAATCAGTCTGGTGGAAATAAAAGCAAGGGGAAAAACCCTTGGTAGGAGTATTTTACAGGCCCCTCAACAGTACTTGTGAAGTAGGGCATAATATAAATCAGGAAATAATGAGGGCTTATGAGAAGGGCACAATGGGAATTATGGGTGATTTAAGCATGCACATTGATTGGATTAATCAACTTGGCATGGGTAGCCTCGAAGAAGGGTTTGTAGATTGTATGAGGATTTGTTTCTTGGAGCAATATGTCGTGGAACCAACCAGAGAACTGGCTACTTTGGAATTGGTGTTATGTAACGAGAAAGGATTGATAAATAGTCTTGTAGTTAAGTTCCTCTCGGAAGGAGTGACCACAGCATGCCAGAGTTTCAAATTCAGACTGAAAGAGTGAAGACAGAGTTGCATACTAGAGTTTTAGTGTTGGGCTGAGGAAAGGGTTGGTCCAAGTGGGTTATTAACAAGTAGGACAGTTGAAGAATAGTAGCAAATGCTTAGGGAGATACTATACACGCTCTCAATTAAAGTATATTCCTGAGGGGAAGAGGAATGGTAAAAAGGTGAAAAATCATCCATGGCTTAACAAGCAAGTCAAGGATAACATTAAGGCAAAAATTTGGGCACATCATACTTCAAATGTTAGTGGGAGTCTGAAAAATTGGGAGAACTTTAAAAATCAGCAAAGGGTTACTAAAAACGAAATCAAAATAGTTAAGATGAACCACAAAAGGAAACTAGTAGAAAAATCCGTATGTAAATATTCCTACCAGAGAGGAGCAAAACTTGATCTTCTCATGGGAAATAAGGCAGGGCAAGTGACTGAAGTGATAGTAGGGGAACACTTTGGGTCTAGTAATCATAAGTCTATTGGTTTTAGAATGGTTATAAAAAAGGACAAGCCTTTCATAAAAGTTAAAGTTTTTGATTGAAGTATGGCAAATTTTAATGTATGAGATAAGAACTTTCAACAGTTGATTGGAGTAGACTGTTTGCAGGTAAAGGGATGTCTGATAAGTGGGAGGCCTTCAAAAGTGTGAAACGAGAACTTAATCATTTTGTTTCTGTTAGAGTGAAAGGTAAGGCTGGATGAATAAATGTATTGAGGTTCTAGTCAAGAATAAAAAAAAAATCATACATTAGATGCACACAACTAGATTCAAATGAATCCCTTGAACAATATAAAGACTGTAGTTTCTTAAGAGGGAGGTTAGAAAGGTAAAGAGGTGAATGTGAGATAGCTTTGGGAGATAAGTTTAAGGATAATCCAAAGAGATTCTACAAGTAAATTAAAAGCAAAAGAGCAACTAGAGAGAGAGTTGGGCCCCTTTAAAGATGAAAGAGGTTGTCTTTGTGTTGAACCTCAGGAGAGATATTAAATGAATATTTTTTCAGTTTTTACTGTGGGGAAAGACATGGAGGCTAGAGAACTTAGTGAAATAAATATTCTTGTTTCGAAAACAGTTCACATTACAGAAGTGGAAGTGCTGGAGGCCTTAGAAAATATAAAGGTGGACAAATCTCCGGGACTTGATCAAGTGTGTCCGAAGACATTGTGGGAGGTTAGGGAGGTAATTGTGGGGCCCCATGCAGAAATATTTGTATCATCTATAACTTCGGGTGAGGTGCCGGATGACTGGAGAGTGGCTAATGT